GTCCTCTGGGACTACCCCTGACCCTTTGGGATGATTGGGGATCATTGATTAGGTGTGGCTAAGAAGAAGGGTTCGTCGAAGAGTTGATCTCCTCTTCGGGGTTTTTCTCATCCTTGGAGAAGTCACCTCCTTGGACAAGGTGGTTAGAGGGAATATTCCCCATGTGCCTTGCACATGGGCTCCATCCTATATCATGAGGTGCCTATAAATAGCACCCACCCATAACTTTACAAGGGATGAATTTTTGAGATTTAACTCTTGGGAAAGAACTAATTTCCTTTCTCCATTATCAACCTTGAGAGTGAAAGTGGGAGATCCATAGGAGAGCCTTGCCATTATTCGCTCTCTAGCCACTTTGCCTTCTTCTTCACCCAATCTCTTATCTCCATCATCTCCTTTACTCTTGTGTTCTTGAGTTAAGACTATTGAAGAATCTAAGTCTCTCATAATCTTCTAGAGAATTCGAAGTTGTTCTTCAAGAGTCTTCGAAGATCTTCGAATTTTCTAACTACTTTCTTGAACCCTCTCATACATTTGGCGACTCCGCTGGGGAGGCGGATTGGTTAATGGTCTCAATGAGATCTGGAATCCACACAACTCCAACAAGGATGGCGGGAGAAGATGAAGTTCACCAACAAGGATCCTCTAATGGTGGTGATGACAGGAACATGGCTCCAGATCAACCACTTTGCTTGAAGCCATTCAAGGACTTCAAAATACTCAGCAAGAGATTCTTACAACTCTTTAGAATCTCACTCACACCATGTTACCATGTTGGTGATGAGTTCTAATTTTGCACCGTCACCAAACGGAAATCAAGCTGGTGGTGGAGTCATTCCGGCTGGAGCGCAAAATCAAATCCAAGGAGAAGTAGGCACCAGTCGGCCCATGGCTCATGGCAACACAGCCACAGTAACACATGCTCAAACCGCAGTAGGCGGCAGCGGTTTGCCTACGCCCGGGCTCCATGGCGTGCCAAGCCAAGATCCAATGGTGACTAGGGGAGGTTCTGGTGTAATGAATGGGGCTCCGGCGACTGTTGGTGTCCAGGCAAATACAAGGGGCATGATGGCGCAAAAGGGGGCTCTGCCCGTACCTAATCTTGTTACGCCACCAGTAAATGTTACTCAAGTACCAAACGGGCCTCCTTTGGTGCCGACAACAAATTTGCAAGCACAACCCGGAATAACGGCGCCATGCGGTGGACTTTACGGGCCTCAATTCAATGTCCCATCACCAACTGGCTTGTCTATAGGCACTGATGGCCAATATCATCAAATGTCCTCACCAATAATGAATTCACAGCACCAGAATGGCCAAGTAGCCCCTAGCTTAGTCTTCGGGTCCATAAGCCAAGTTTCGGGAGTACCACCATCAAACTCTCTCCCTCAACAGTTTCTCACTCTCGCCGATGTACAAGCCATGTTCGATCTCGAACGAGGCAAGAGGACTTTACCCTCTTTGCCTGATCCAGATGTCAAGCCGCCTTACCCTATTGAGGTGCTGAGTTATCCATACCCTGAGGGGTACACAGTGCCGAAGTTCATTAAGTTCGATGGCAAACAAGGAAATGCTCGAGAACATGTTGTGCAATTCATCGAGGCTCTGGGTATTCATGGTCCAAACCACGTCCTCCGGCTGAGAGAATTCTCTAAGTCCCTCACTGATCGAGCATATAGTTGGTATGTTAATTTGGCCCCAAATTCTGTCCGAAGTTGGGAGGAAATGGTTAACAAATTCCACTCTAAGTTCTTTCAAGTGGCGGAGAAGGTGACCACACTTACATTGTGTAAAGAAAAACAGCAGGAAAGTGAAGACATCCTTGACTACGTCAAAAGGTTTCAGGACAAGGCCGTGGATTGCCATAAAGCAGTGGAGGAGAGTTATCTGGTTCAAATCTGTCTAGATGGGGCATTGAGCAGGTACAAAATGTTTCTAGTTAATCACAAGCTACCCACCTTCTCAACATTAATAGAAGTAGTTCGGAACATTAGCATTCCTCAGGCTCAGGAGTCTGGATTTAAGGCCAGTTACAAGACTAGCTTCAAATCGTCTCGTGGACCTATTGTTGCTGCTGCCTCTGTCCGAGATACCTGAAAGTCACAAGGAAGAGGTCATAGAGGCCAGAAGAGAAAGCAATATAATGGTGAAAAGGGGAATGTTTCTTATCCATGTGGAATCGAGGAGGTAAAAGCTTTAGTTAAGGAATGGGTGGCTGACGGAGAGCTAAAATTGCCTTATGTCGAGGAAATGCCATCAAAGAAGGACCGCGAGAGCCCCGAATTTTGCGTCTATCATCGCACATTGAAACATCCGACAGAGAAGTGTTGGACTCTCAGGAAAATCTTCAGAGATAAAGTCGAGGCAGACGAATTGAGGTTCCAAAAGCAAGGGACTCAAGACATCCGAGAACAACCATATCCTCAACACCGAGACAAGGGCAAGAATGTTGCTATGATAGCTTATGAAGGCCCGATGCTTAAGGCTATTGCCAATCTCGATGATGATGATTATTATCTGGACAACATCCTCGAGCCAGAGGGTGAGCAAGTTTACTATGGAAATGCTCTCGATCCAGAGGGCAGAACCTTCATAACTCATGTCGACGATCCCTTTGATCCAGAAGGAGGAGAAGAGTACTACGGAAGAGGAGGACACCATGTTTATGTGGCATCTCATTTTGAAGAGACCGAGGAGATGGTTAACTACGAGCCTCCAAGAGTGGAAAAAGATCCGGATCACTATGCCAAAACCCTGCAAGATTGTATAAAGTTCAAGCAGTTCTTTGACCAGCTTGGACTTTCCAAGGAGGCAAGAACAGAAATCACCAAGTCTATCATTAATATAGCCGAGGCACACCATGAGGAATACATGTCGACTGAGGGATCCATCCCGAGAAAGGCAAAAGAGCAATCTAGTGCCATCACTTTCTCCGAGGCTGATCGGAAGTATCCTTTTTCTCATAATCGCCCACTTTATGTGACTGCTTTTTTAACGGGGTTGAGTTCAAAAGGGCCTTTCTGGACAGCAGAGCCTCTATCAACATTATGACTCGCGCTACTCTAGAAAAGGCTGGAATCCCTGAAGAGCGCATTGTGAAGCAGCCGATAGTCATCACTGGCTTCGGTGGAGAAAGGAGAATTATTATTGGATGTGTAACAGTTGATTTAGCCGTTGAAGAGATTCGCTCGGCCACCAAGTTCCATATTATCGATTCCGAGGCAAATTATCACATCATTCTAGGGAGGACCTGGATGCATAGATATGGGGCTGTACCATCGAGTTATCATTAGTGTGTTAAAGCTAAATGGAGAAAGAAGACGGTGACAATTCAAGCTACAAAAAGGCCTTTCGAGACCCATGAAGCTCATTACTCTGATGCCATCTACTTCACCGAACTGGCTGTCGAAGAAGTTCCCACCACCTCTAAGCCTCGGGGGGTCAAAATTCCTTGTTGGGAGGATATCAAAGATGACAAGGAGCCAAGGGCAGAATCAAGTAAACGGGCGATCTCTAGACCAGAAAGTCCGTCTATTCCTCAGAAGGTGATGAAAGTCCGAGAAGGGGGCAAGATGGTGTACTATTTATGAATGTGCGGGGAGTCGGTTTCTTCAGTCACCGACTCCAAGTCAAAAGAAGAGCCTCCTGACAATGACATAGTGATAAAGCCTGAAGTGGCTCCGGAATGCATGTAAGATGGGCCGAAGCCTCAGCCCGAACAACTTATTGAAATAGATCTGAGTGATGGACAAGATGCTCTAAGGCCGATATTCATAAGTTCGAGCCTTAGCCCAGAGAAGCGGGAACAGTTGTTAAAGTTGATAAGCCGGTATTCAGATGTGTTTGCTTGGTCATATAAGAAAATGCCTGGACTAGATCCTGACCTAGTCTCCCATTATCTTGATGTGTTCCCAAACTCCAAGCCAATTAAGCAAGCTGCTCGAAAATATCATCCGGACCTGGAAGAGAAGATTAAGGAGGAGATTGAAAAACTTCAACAAGCAGGTTTCATCTGGCCAATACAGTACCCCACGTGGTTAGCAAACATCGTGCCAGTAAAGAAGAAGAATGGTCAAATCAAAGTATGTGTAGACTTTCGAGATTTGAACAAATCTTACCCGAATGATGAATTCCCTCTTCGTCACATCGACACCCTCATGGATGCCACCTCGGGACACCAGATGTTTTCATTCATGGATGGATTCAGTGGATACAATCAGATTAAGATGGCTGAAGAGGATGCAGAAAAGACTGCTTTTAGAACACTTCTCAGAAACTTCTTTTATACAGTCATGCTTTTCGGACTCAAGAATGTCGGAGCAACTTACCAAAGGGCTATGACTGCAATCTTTCATGACACGATCCATCATGAGGTGGAAGATTATGTTGATGATCTAGTGTTGATTAAGATGGCTGAAGAGGACGCAGAAAAGACTGCTTTTAGAACACTTCTCAGAAACTTCTTTTATACAGTCATGCTTTTCGGACTCAAGAATGTCGGAGCAACTTACCAAAGGGCTATGACTGCAATCTTTCTTGACACGATCCATCATGAGGTGGAAGATTATGTTGATGATCTAGTGTTGAAATCCAAGAAGGAAGAAGACCATCTCCGAGACCTTGAGAAGGTGTTCAAGAGGTGCCAGAAATTCAAAATAAGGATGAATCCTCTCAAATGTGCTTTCGGGGTAACAGCCAGGAAGTTCCTTGGGTTTCTTGTACATAGGCATGGTATCGAGGCAGATGAAGACAAGGTCAAGTCCATCAAAGCAATGCCTCCCCCACATTCTCAAAAGGAGTTAAAGAAGTTCCTCGGGAAGGTGTCTTATATTCGGAGGTTTATCCCAGCACTTGCAGAGATCTCTGCCCCTTTCAGCTCGTTGTTAAAAGGAGATGCCAAGTTCGAGTGGAACCAAGAGCACCAAAAGGCCTTTGAGAGAATCAAGGCGGCCTTAACCTCGCCTCAAACCATGATAGCCCCGTAGCCCGGGGTCCCTCTAATGTTGTACCTAACCTCAACCCCCAAGTCCATAGGGACATTATTGGTCCAAGATGTAGACGGAGCAGAACGCCCAGTGTATTACATCAGCCAAAAGATTCGAGGAGCAGAAGTCCGATATACTCCGATAGAGAGACATTGCTTAGCTTTGGTATTCCCTGCCCAAAAGCTTAGACATTACTTCTTAGCACATCATATTCAGATTGTTACTAGAAGTGATCCAATCCGATACCTCCTCAGCAAGCCTGCTTTAACCGGGAAGGTGGCAAGATGGTTGTTAGCACTGGGCGAATTCAAGATCACATGTGTAGCTCCCAAGGCAATCAAAAGTCAATCCTTAGCCAATCTCCTCGCCCAATTTCCAAGTGGTGACTATGAACCAGTGAATGAAGAATTAAGAGGAGAGGTGCATGCAACTATGGCTTCCGAGGAAAGCTTTTGGACATTAAGCTTTGACGGAGCAGCAGCCAGAGGTAAAGGAGAAATCGGGATAGTCCTTACAAGCAAAAGTGGGAAAAAGTTATATTTGTCTTATAAACTGGATTTCCATTGTTCGAATAATGAAGCCGAGTATAAGGCTCTTATTTTGGGCTTGATAGCAACTGAGAAGTACAATATCAAGAAGATTCGAATTCGGGGGGACTCAAAGCTGATAGTGAAGCAAGTTTTAGGACAGTTCGTCTTAAAGGAGCCTGCCTTGGCCACGTATCGAACAACAGTCCAAATGCTTCTTGACAGATTTCAGAAGGTCGAAATAGAGCATGTGCCTCGCTCCGACAGCAAGTTTTCAGATGCCCTCGCAACATTAGGGGCAAGAGTTAACATTCCAGAGGAAGAGGCGACAATTGTTATCAAGAAGAGAACAGAACCTTCAATAATACCCGAAGATAAAGACTTTCCGGAGGATTGGAGAGGAGAAGTTCTCGAACGACTCAAAAGCAAAGTTGGAAAACTGACTATGGCCAAGCTTGCCCAATTCATAATAATTCAAGGTGAACTTTACTTTCGAGGAGGTACCAGATTCCTAGCCCGGTGTGTTGGCCAACAAGAAGCAAGCTTTCGACTATAACAGATTCACGAAAAATCCTGCGGGGATGGGGATATCAGTCTGTACAGAAGGATCCAAAGACGAGGCTATTATTGGCCTGAGATGGAGAAGGCCTCGAATCAACTACAGAAAGAATGCCCCAAGTGTCAGTCATACATCCGGGAGGATGAGAGTTGCTTTGAAATTGATACCCCTAACTGGAGACAAGTTTACATTGATTATCTCAGAGAGGGGACACTACCTGAGAGCCCGAGGGACACTGCACACCTCAAGAGGAGAGC